GAGGTGAAGAATCAGAAGATGTTCTGGGCATTCTGTGCTGGCAGGCTTGGAGATTAAATGTTATATAACCCATAATAAATGCAATGCCAAACTCTAAGTTGGTATAATTTCCCCCTGAATTCCATGGGGAGGTTTCAGATCCTCTATCCTTTTTTGACCTTACCCCCACCAGAGTATTGATAATAAAGGTGAAGTGCAATTGCTTATTGCTTAAAGCATTGTAAACCGCCCTGAATCTCCGGAGAAGAGCGGCATATAAATCAAATTAAAAAAAAAAAGTGTTAGTGTTTTTCCGAGATGTCTCTCTCCCCCCCCACCCCGTCCTCCCCAGGTCCCCCCCCGCCCCAGTTCAATCGGGTTTAATTCCTTGGTAGTACAGTGGTCTAAGGCACCCTGTTATTAAGCTGGTTATTAAGACCAGCTGCCTGCAATTACTGCAGGTTCGAATCTCGCCAAGGCTCAAGGTTGACTCAGCCTTCCATCCTTTCTAAGGTAGGTAAATTGAGGATCCAGTTGTGGGGGCAATAAGCTGACTTTGTATAAAATATACAAAAGGATGAAGGCTATTGCTGAGCACATTGTAAGCCGCCCTGAGTCTCCGGAGAAGGGCGGCATATAAATCAAAATTAAAAAAAAAAAAATTCTCAGAGACTGCCTGGACAAGTCCCTGCAGGGTTTTTTGCAACCTTTTTCAGAGGCTGGTTTGCCATTGCCACCCTCTAGGCCTGAGAGAAAGTGACTGGCCCAAAAACACCCAGCTGGCTAAGATGGCACGAGTGATTTATAGCCTTAGGCCTTAACCACTACATCAAACTGTCTCTACAGAACAGAATAACAGAGTTGGAAGGGACCTTGTAGGTCATCTAGTCCAGTGGTGAAATCTAAAATTTGTTACTACCGGTTCTGTGGGCGTGGCTTGGTGTGTGTGTGTGTGTGGGGGGGTAATGTGACTGAGTGGGCGTGGCCAATATTTTTTTTTTTAACTTTTAAAACCATTTTTTCTACAACCTCTTCGGCAAAGAGGTTGTAAAAAAATGCTTTCAAAAGGCTCTGACGATCCCAGCTGAGTTGCCTGATCAGCAGAGACTTTTTTTCTTTTAAATGCCTCTGATGATCAGGCAACTCAGCTTGGATCGTCAGAGGCATTTAAAAGAAGAAAACCCTTTTTTTTCTTTTAAATGCCTCAGATGGTCCAAGCTGAGTTGCCTGATCATTAGAAACATTTAAAAGAAAAAAAGTCTCTGCCGATCAGGCAACTCAGCTTGGATCGTCAGAGGCATTTAAAAGGAAAAAAAAAAGGTTTTTTTTCTTTTAAAAGCCTTTGATGATCCCAGCTGAGCCGCGCGATCATCAGAGGCTTTTTTTTTTATTTTTAAAAGCATTTTTTCGCCCGAAGTGGTTGTAGAAAAAATGCTTTTAAAAGTAAAAAAAAAGCCTCTGATGATTGTGCGACTCAGCTGGGCATGGGGGGGGGGCAGGGATTTTTACTATCGGTTCTCCAAACCACCTGCCTCCATCGTTACTGGATCGGGCGATCTGGTCCGAACCGGGAGCATTTCACCCCTGATCTAGTCCAATCCCCTGCTCAAGCAGGAGACCCTATTCCATTTCTGACAGATGCAGTCCAGTTTCTCGAAGCTTGTCTAGGGTGCATCAAATTTTCCAGCTACACATCTCCTTGCCCATGAATGAAAAGGAGAATACAAACTACACTGATTCTTTCCAGGGAGACCAGAACTGCTCAGCTCGACATTTTCTAACATTCTAATTTTGTTTTGTTTTATCTCATCCCTGTGTCTGCTCCTGAGGGCTGTTGCTACCCCCAAAACAGATCTTCTTTCTGGAGTGGCAGCTAGTAAAGAACACTTATTTAACAGCAGAAATTTTCTAAAACAGGAATGCTGTTACTCTTTAAATTAGTAAACTCTTTGGTTATAAATGCTGCCTGGAACAGAAGGATGTTCAGAGCCATGCTTGCCCAAAACAAAAAGGAGGACTTGAACCAAACTGAATACATCATGAAATATTATCATAAGGTTTGCAAGCAAATTAAACCAGGTGCTCAATTTCTATATTATTTAGAACTGAACAAAGGCAACTGAAAATGCAGAATAACATAGGGACCCTGGAGGTCTTCTGGTCCAATCCTTTGTTCAAGTAGGAAACCCTATACCATTTTAGACAAATGGATGTCCAATCTCTTCTTAAAAGCCTCCAGTGTTGGGAGCACCCACAACTTCTGCAGCATAAACCAAATTATAATAGTTTCTATGTAATGTCAAATAGATATTTCCCAACAGCCACCTTTTTATCCTTGCAGTGATGGTATTGTCTGAAAATAATAGCTCAAGGGGATAAGGAAGAAAAAAAAAAATTTTTTTGGAACAACAACAACAAAAGAAAACTCAGATTGGAGATGAATAGAAACAGGAAATCAGCTAAAAATACTTCAAAGCTGAAACTGGAGCTCTGGCCTCATGACTTACTAAAATTTATCATGCAAGTACCTAACAGGACACAAGTGGCTTGTTAAGGCGTCCAGTCTTAAAAGCAGAGACCCCTTATCTGGACCCCTTATTCCTTTTGTCACAAAACTTGGCAACAACTTGCATTGTATTCATTTGTTGCACTACTGGTTTATTTTATGAATTGACAGAGTGCCAGATATGAAGTGCTGCCTTAACCAGTTCAGCAGGGTATCAGGTGAATGTAACAGGTGGAGTCAAGAAATGCTTCCTAGTCCACCGGTTTACGTATTTATTTAAGTATGCCATATCAATGGCTTCTCAGAAAGGGAAAAAGTGAAAGAATTTATATAATGTGCAGAATTAACTTCCCCCACCTACCACAGGCATAAAATAAATATGCTCAATCAGTCACTGGAACTCACTGCCACAGAGTCTGCCACAAGAATGCCAATCAATTTTTACAGCAATGACAATTTGTGGGGTAAGGGGAGAGATAAATGTTAAACTTTTAAAACAGTTGAGAAATGGTGCAATATCTTGTGCATGTCAGAGCCTAACATGCTTAAGACATGTAGCCAACTTCCTGTTCCAAACTGGTTTGCCAGTAGGCGAATGGGCTTTTCCCTCCATTTATTATTACAGGTAGTCCTTGACTTACAGACTACAAGTTGGACTGGACCTTTCATCGCTAAGTTGCTTGGTCATTAAATGAGTGATCATGTGACCGCACCTTTTTTTTTTTTTGGCCACTGTTGTTAAGCGAATCTGGCTTCCCTCATTGACATTGCTTGTTGGAAACTGGCTGGAAGATCACAAAAGGCAGTCAAATGATCCCAGGGCACTGAAACTGTGGAATACTGCAACTAGCCTTAAAGGTGAGTTGGTTACCAAGCAGCTGAAATGCGGTCATGGGATGTGTGCGTGTGCATTCATCCGAACTGGGTCGTAAGTAACTTTTGGGAAGGGTGTCCATCATAACTTTAAGCGACCAGTCATTAAGCGAGGACTACTGGTAATTAATATCAATTATGAAGTCTCTTTCTTAAAAAAATAACTTCTTTCCATTTCAGCATATATTCCAAGGATTCAGTTACTTGTGTTAAGTTATATTGTCCTTTGACAATGTAAGTTATAATGTACTCTGAGAGCATATGCGGCAAAGACAAATTCCTTATGTGTCCAATCACACTTGGCCAATAAAGAATTCTATTCTATTCTATTCTATTCTATTCTATTCTATTCTATTCTATTCCATGTACTCCCATAGAATCTGTTCTAGGATCTGAAAGAGTATTTTGGCAGCCAGCCATTGTAACTGTAGACTCTAGCATTGCCAGGTATATGCAAATTCAGGCTTTATATTAAAAAGTCCTTGGTTCAAACCCCAAGCATCTCTAAATAAGTTTGGGAAGAGACTTAGTATTGTGCTTTGCTTTACTAATTTACTGTATGAGACCAAAGAAAGAATCTGGTAACTAAAATTATTGGACTATGAAGACTGAAAAAGGTTGAGCTGGTTTAAGACAGCTTTTTATCATCCTAATTTTCTTACAGATATACGACTATAAAACCCAGTACACATAAGCCAGATTTTAAGGAGGATGATTACAGCATAATCTGAGCCTGTTGATATCTGTTGTGCATATATGTTCTAGTCAAATATTTTCCCTTCTATGAAAGCAGGATACTAACCCACCCGACCAATTAGAAGGATTGAATCCAGGCAAATCATGTCTGGCCATCTGCATTCCCAAACATTACAGTTCACTGGTGAATAAGTCATTAAACAATGAGAGAAAAACACCTTTCACAATAATATTTATTAATGGATGCATTCAACTTAAATTCTAGCAGCAAAAGGCACAGTAGAATACTCCAAATAGTGTTTCAATGCTTGCATTATAGATTCCTTTTATCTCGATATGGATACAAGTAGAATTTACAAGTAGCAGCTATGCTGAGCGGTCTAAGAACATTCCATACATGAATTATAAGCAGAGACAGAGAGAAAAGCTTGGAATGTAGAATGCTAGGAATAAAGGCCAAACACCCACAGGAAAACATCTTGCTTTATAATTATAATAAGCCACATCAGGGAACCAAGGCTCATTATTTCAAGATACATTTCCTGATCATGTCAATCTCAAGACTAGAGAACAAGCTGGAAGGAGGCATATGAAAGTGTGCATTGTTAGATAAACTTTCCAGTGTGTTTCATATCTTCAAAAAGGCTATGTAGCCATCCATGCTCACAGCAGATCCTACAAAAATCTGACCTTGAAAGAACTGAACATCAACAGAAAAACTGGCAGAGTTAAAGAATCAGTTCTTTAACAACTCAGCTAGCTGGCATCTCAGGCTTCCCTTTCTCTTTTTCTCTCTTGCAACACAGAATGTTTCAGGCAAGGCAACAGTTGAGTAGAAACACCTCTTAATTCTGCAGCCAAACACCAGGGAAAGGTGAAAATGTCTGATGGAACTTAAGCCTATGAACATGCTTGATTTTTAGAACAGGACAATAAGTCAGCATACCTGGAACATCAATTAATCTCTTGTAGACATTTAGGAATGCCGCTTCTGCTTCTTTGCTTCTTTTGCCTAATGCATCAATCTGGAAAAAAAGAAAAGAAAAGAAAAGAAGGAGAATGAGTCCTGGATCAGTTCCTGAATCATACCTAAATACAGTATATGTGACTGAATATATGATTGCATGAACATTACTGGTGCCCATGTTCATTTCAAGATTAATGTGAGGAACCAAGATCTTCATAATTAGCTCAGGTCTTTCCCAGTTGGAAGACCTTTCATCCACTCGATGCAAGCACCCAGTTTTGAGGACACCAACAAATTTTTCATTGCTGTAGTTGACTCCTGTCATTAAGAGAAGAAAGAAACAAGGGGCAATGGTGGGACCAACCAGAAAGAATTGCTGTAGATAAAGTTTCTGAAATGCCCAACCCAAGTCATTTTATTTAGGTTAGAATACTGGAAAGATCTAAAAAAACCTTTGAATTCCTAAGTTCAACAACCACATGGCTTAACTCAGAGTTCCCCAACCTTTCCGGCTTTGCAGATTTGGGGGTGGGGTGGAGGGAAGGGGGATGATTCCGCAAGAGTAGCAAGCAAATGCCGGTGCAAATATAGCATGTGCGCATGCGCTCGCTGGCTACTTGCACAAGTAGGGATGCATGTGCATGCACATGCTCGCTCACCACTTCTGTGGCTTGGTCCAAATAGCTCAAGGCCACCAAGTAGTAGGCCACAGCCCAGGAGTTGGGGCTTAATTTATGACATTCATAGTTGAATGTATTTTATATTTCTAAGTATAAATGCAATTAACACCCATTCTTCTCCATTCATATCCATTTTCATCTATAACAAGGCAATTTATTGCTCTCCAAATATTTTGGATTCTAACTTCTATAATGCCCCGGTCAGCAGTTTCCCTCAAGAATTTAAGGTAGCTCTGATGAGCCACTAGCACTAGACTCTTGCCTCCTCCAACCATCATTGTAGTAATGACTTCTGTCAGTCATCAAAGAACAGTTGCAACAGCGAGTCTTCAGGAACCAATGCTACTTCCATGAGGAAAGCTAGAATTACTGGCCATGGTGAACCTAGATTTGAGAATTGCTAGGAACTCCTGCACCAGGCGGTCCTTGGTTTTTGGAATGCTACTGTGAAAATCTACAGATCAAAAGTTTCTAACATTGAATTCCTGAGAAAACCTTTAGGGTATATATATTTGTATTTCTGTATCAGAGGTGGGTTTCAGCAGGTTCTGACCAGTTCTGGAGAACCGGTAGCGGAAATTTTGAGTAGTTCGGAGAACCGGTAGTAAAAATTCTGACTGGCCCCGCCCCCATCTATTCTCTGCCTCCCAAGTCCCAGCTGATCGGGAGGAAATCAAAAAGCTTCATACACACCAATAGTGGACCACCACCAACAGTATCATTATAACCCTCAAATGCTTTAGAAAGGGCTGGTGGTTTTTTTTTTCCTTCTCAGGAAAAGCAAAAGAAAAGCTTTGCTGAACCTCCAAAGCCTATCCAGCTTTCTATCATCATAGGACTAGTTGCCTTTTGGAAAAGCGACTTTGGGACAACCATGACCTGGATGATTGGAATCTCCATAAACATTCAGAAAACTGAGAGGCACACTGCCTCTAATTGTTGCCCTTATGTTTAACAGTTATTGGGGATCTCCATAAATTATCTCCATAAATTTGTCTAATTTCCTTTTATACCCACTTAAATTGGATGCTAACACTACATTTTGTGGCAATGACTTCCATAGCTTATAGTTTGACATGAGATGCCTAAACTGCAAACAACTGTTGCTGACCATTCTATGAAGGACAAAAGGGTTATAAATGCAAATAAAGACAACATCCACATTTAGACTTGATAACTCAGAAAGGGCTATTTAGACTATTGGATCCAGTCTCCAACTGCAGTCTCTAAATTAAAACATCTTTGACCAAGAGGACATCTAGCCTTCATTTGAGCAGATCAACTTCATTGGATAATTGATTCCATTGTTGAACTGTCTCACTGTTGGAAGCTTTTACTTACTTACTTACTTACTATCTATATTTATTAAATGTGTTTGCTGTGCATCTCACCACAAAGCATTCAACATTCAACTGGAACCTGCCTTCCTTTAGTTCAAGGGTGTCAAACTTGATTTCATTGAGGGCTGCATCAGGGTTGTGTTTGATCTTGGGAAACCGGAGTGGGCATCACAGTGTGGTATGGCTAGCTCGATGTCACTTATGTCAGGGGTACCTGTGGTGGCCCAAGCGCTCTGCCAGATAAAATGGGCTTCCAAGCTCCATTTTCAGCTGCGACGGCCTCATGCATCCTTCTGCCAGCAAAAATGGAGCTTGCGATCCTCCTGAGCTCCGTTTTCACTGGCAGAGGCACTGTGGGCCGGTCCTTCGCTGTTTCCAGGGTGGCCCCGTGGGCCAGATCTAAACACCCTGTGGGCTGGAACAGACCCCCCCGGGCCTTGAGTTTGACACCCCTGCTCTAGTTCAGTTACATTAATTTGTGAAACCATTCCGGAAAAAATGCTAAAAAGCTTGACATCATCATTTTACCCACCTTTTTCAAGCAGTACCACCAATACACCAAGAGTAAAAGAAGCAACAAGAAGTGTTATTAATGCTGAACACCAAAACAGCTTATACTGGGAATCAGGTTTGTCTCTCACTCCAGCCATTAACACATAAGCCTGAGAAGTAATACAACCTAGCAGCTCCGTGATAAACAATCCATGCTGTAAGGCATTATATACCACTTACTTACTGGACAGTTACAATATCAGCTGTGCTGCAATCAATAAATACACCTTTTTGCTTTTAATGCCAACAGCGAAACCCACATCTTGGACTATTAGGCCACAGTATGTGCTTTATTTATCTCAGGATTTATCTATTTTTTGAAAAAGCAAAGAGCAGCTTTCTACCGATTCACCTTTTCTGAATGAATTAGAAATGAAACCCAAAGACTGGCACTACTTTTCCAGCGTTTTTAGGTTTTTAAGGGCTAAGATGAAACCTGAAAATTGGGCAACACAATAGGAAATGCTGTTGTCTTTCTTGCAAGGCTGATGTCAGACTCACATGGATGAACCAGACCGAAATGACAACAAGATGAGCTAATTCTACTTGATTGTAAAGCGACATGAATGACAGAATCTTGCAGGTCTGAAAACAGAATCCTCGTCCTCCCTTTATAGCCTGGGAAACTAGGGAGGGTCTCATCTGAACCCCTTGCCTCACTCACGATCCATTATCCAGCTGTCACCTATGCTGTCTCTTATCTGACTGTTCCCCTAACCACTCTCCTGAGGACTTTCTCACATACCATTATACAATCGAGATTCATTCCCTAAGTCCGTGATGGCGAACCTATGGCACGCGTGCCGGAAGTGGCACACAGAGCCATCTCTCCGGGCACGCCACCCAACTGGTCTTTGCAGGCGCATGCGCACCAGAAACCGGAAGACCAGGTGACCAGTGTGTATGTGCACACCGGAAACCAGAAGCTGTTAAATGAATCTGGTGTTAAATGAATCAGAAGGTGTGGGGTAGTGTAGGGTTTCCTGCCTAAGCAAGGGGTTGGACTAGAAGACCTCCAAGGTCCCTTCCAACTCTATTATTCTATTCTATTCTAAGGTTACAAAAGATGATCACACAACCCCGGGACACTGTAACCATCATGAATATGATTCAGTTGCCAAGCATCTGAATTTTGATCATGTGACCGTGGTGGTGCTGCAATGGTCATTAAGTGTGTGAAAAACGGTCACAACTCACTTTTTTCACAACTCACTTTGAACGGTCACTAAATGTTGTAACTCGAGGACTGCCTGTATTTGGCGTAGTTTGTAATCACTGAGCTCGGCAAGTGCTTCTCAGAACTGCCCCTTCTGCTCTAACATTTATTAGCTATTATTTTTAATTATTATTTTTATTAATTAAATTTGTATACCGCCCTTAATATTAAATATTAAATATTAAAATTCAGAATGTTCCCGATTGCCACATTATGTTTAATCCACAGCAAATGCAGCTTTGTGGCTTGAAGAGGTTAAATTTTGGAGTGCTTGGCTGCTTTCCAGACCCTTTGCACAAAATTGGGCTAATGCAACAGCACAAGAAGCGCCCAGACTGGCCATGATTAATAGACTGCCAAAGACAGTGCTTTCCACAAAACACACACTTCTCATTCCCTTGCTTCCATAGATCATGGACTTATCCTCAAAATATCTGACTGAAATTGAATTTGGCTTCTCTCTCAACCGTTCATTTCCTATGTTATGCAAAGTTATATCCTTTTTCTGCCTGAGCAGAACCAAACCAGCTGCAGCCCTTCAGAAGGAAAATGTGGTTCCAATTACAAAAAGCTGGCCTAGATACTGAACCACAGTTCTGATGCTGCTCTAATTGAGCCATCATGGAGCAAATGTAAAGTAACAAAATTGGATTAATTAGGTTTGCAAAGTTCAACACAAGAAATCTTGGCAATGGGAAGATGGGGAGTAGGTACTTAATAATGGAGGAAGTGCTACACAACAGAACAAGATTAAGGTATCTTAGTCCTCCAGCATTTTACAGCCAGTAACTTTTCTGGTTACACTGATATATGTGAACAATAGCAATAGCACTTAGACTTATATACCGCTTTACAGTGCTTTTACAGCCCTCTGTAAGCGGTTTACAGAGTCAGCACATTGCCCTCAACAATTTGGGTTCTCATTTTACCCACCTCGGAAGGAAGGAAGGCTGAGTCAACCTTGCAACAATGCAACGCAAAAGCCAGTTTGATCTGGTGACTTAAGGCACCAGGCTAGAAACTGGGCGACCATGAGCTTTATACCAGTCTTAGGTATGACAGCCGGCTTGGGTGACTTTGTGCCAGCCACTCTCTCTTAGCCCAATTCACACCACAGGGCTATTTTCCACTGTTTTGTGGGGAACGCAGGAGGAGGAAGAAGTATTGCGTATGTTCATTTCTATAAAAATAGTAATGGTGGGATTTAAAAAAAGAGCTTACATTTACTATGCAATCGAATCTGGTCGCAAATAGGCAATGTATGTAATAT